ATGTTTGGTGGAACTGGGATTCAAACCCGCGACCCTCTGATTGCGAGTCGAGCGCCCTAACCACCTGGCCATGCCGGGCCTAGTTACTTTAAAACACAACTGACAAGACAAGTGTCTTCTCTACTCCGTTGTTTCAATACAACCTGTGATAATTTCACTTTAAAAACCACTATACACTCTTTATAGCTAAACTCACAATCACACAGTCTAGATCTAATTATCTAACTAACTTTGTCTTACTTACTCGAACTATATCTTATACGTGTATTTATAGATTGACAAAGGCCTAGAACATTCTAGACACTACAAGATATTATGATGCCAATATTACTCAATCCAAACAAAGAGAAATACTTAGAAGGTTCTAGTAACATAACAAAATAATACAAGTGCAAATTAACGATAATTGAACTATACGACGTATGATTCATACACAGTTAAGTAAACAAATGTGTGCTATAATAAGTACATTTAACACTGGAATCAAACTTAAATTGAAACAGTCGTGTATATCCAACACCCTCCAACATATAACTCAACAATATAAATCCTTCTCCTACATAAACCTTAAATAACCTCCTACATAGATCTCAACAGTAAAAGTTCCCTTCTATATAAATCCGAACAACAAAAACCATCCTTCAACACATATTTCAACAATAAAGATATTACAACGTACATTGCAAAGAATATTATGCCAACTGAAATGCACAAAAGGTAAATTTAGACCATCTTTCTGAGATTCTTTAAAACTTTCCCTGAGTTTTACATGAATTGTACAAATACAACGTATTTATCTATAGTTATTTTTAAATACATTTATTATTTCGTATAAATTCTTGAAAATCAGCGTTGTTTTTTTGTCTCCTGATGATGTAATACATTGATTTTCATCATATCAAACCACACTATCACGAAACATCATTTAGACACACGAGTTTCTATATGGAAGAGAAATGTAAACTATCCATTAGCTAAGACTTGCACAAGTATTATGATTTTTGAGTGACTGACTACAACTTAGGTAGCAGTGAGACGTTTGTGTAGGGATTCTAACCTTCGGCTTGTGTTTCTGTATCCTCCATTTAGGAAGCTTTCCCGGCTATGTTCTCGACGTCTGCTCGCTAGGGACGATATATTCCTCGTTCTGGATAGTATTTTGACTGGATCATCATTTGAAACAAAGTCTGTTTCACTGAGAGGCGGTAATCGATCTCCAGGAGTCGAGGGTAGTGACTGGATATAACTGGACAGACTTAAACCACTGTCCACTCGGCTTCCTTGACTGCTGCAAGTGGGTGTGAATAGCTTTCCACGACTAAACCAAAGAGAAAATCAATTATATTGATATCTTTATGGTATTTGTTTATAGATGATTTAGACAAAGTCTTCACGATGAACAAACATCAGCGAATTGGCAGCAACAGTCTAGTTCGGAAAGACATTAGTGGAGAAAGTCTTGGAGGAAAAATCTTCAAAAGTAGCACAGATGAAAAAGGACGATGTTTCGAAAGACTCCTGTCTTTAGTCTTCGGGAAGTCACATCGCCCTTTTCACCTTCGCTACTTCTGTGGATTTTTCCTTCATGACATTATCCACAAGTGTCACTCTGAACTAGACAGTTGCTCCCCATTTTGATTTTGCTCAATATCCTTATGGTATCTAACATCCAAATTAGAGAAACAAGCAGTAGATGTGAAATGACATCACAGTAATTTGATGACGAGGAACTCATTTTATTGGAAGTACATTTGTTACTGAGTTAAACTCAAAAATAAGTTTTATTCGTTATTAGACTGATAATATTATTAAACACAACCTTCCCTTAGTAGCCTAATATGGGTTGTAAGTAACTGGAAAATTGTAAGAGTTTAGTAAAGGCAGAAGTGAATAAAACCGCGGTGCATTACTGTTGTGATATACAAAACATATTTAGTGTTTCCTCTTTCGTTTATTAAGGTGTAAGTTTCATGGTCACCTTACATTTTTAAATTTCTTCAATGTTTCTAACCGTGTATGTTAACAGTAGATTATTGATCATAGAATGTGGCTAGATTCCTTTGAACCTAATTGTCTATTTTTCTGCATCATTTGGTGCCACATGAGCTTTCTCGTGGGAATGTTCACAAGAAAGTGTCACCTATCTATTCAACTGGTAGGTCAGATGATACCGTGAAGAAGTGTCCTCCTCATTTGTTACTGGAATACCCAGCTATGAAGTGAGTGCCGCATGCACCCTGAGACAGGTGAAACAATTATATTTTGTACATAGTTTTCATGTCCTCCAGTGGCACAGCGGTATGTCTGCGGACTTACAACGCTAGAATCCGGGTTTCGATACCCGTGTTGGGCAGAGCACAGATAGCCCATTGTGTAGCTTTGTGCTTAATTACAAACAAACAAACAAACAAGCATAGTTTTCATACTTTTTCACTCTCAATGAGAATTTATTCTGAGCTTAGAACTGTTTTGATGATCTTCTGACTTGTGGGTAAGAACAGCGTTGCCTGGTGTTCCGTGTTTTTATTATTACTGCTTAATTTGCTTTGTGTCTTTCTTCAGCTAGGAGTCAGGGAATTCAGATTTACACCTGCAGAACATTTCATTCAGATGTACCAAACTGTGACGTCATACCACACCTACTACCACCAACACAATAGTCTACTGAGTTGGAAAATTAGGTTCTTAAAATAAAACAAACTAGAGGGATGTATTTCAGAATTTGTACGGCGTATTACACAAGTTGTTGACTGTTACAATAACAAAGTAATGAAGATGGTTTACTTTACTACTGAACAGTGACGTTCTTGAGTAAATGTGAACAAATCAAGGAATCGGTTAACAAAATGTGTGTGTTGTTATAAGCCACAGGCTTATTTTCTTTGTACCACTACATTGGATACTGACTGTCAATGGAGATATCGGTAGATTGGTATATTAAAGTTACGATAAACAAAACCATTAATTTGTCTTCAATTGCTAGAATATAAAGAACTGTCTTAGAACTATATCTACAGCAGAAAAATGCATCAGTCTGCCTTTAATCAATGGAAGTTAAAAACTGATTTAAAATAATGACTACAGGAGAGAAAATCATCAGTCTGCCTTTAATCAGAAATCAGTTCTTTAACTTCCGCGACGACTAGACGATGAGAAAATGTCCTTTAAATCGTTTCATCTGCCACCTATTAACAGGTATTTCATGATCTGCTGTAGTTATAATTCTAAATCAGTTCTTTAACTTCCGTTGATTAAAGGCAGACTGGTGATTTTCTCTCCTGTAGTTATAATTTTAAATCAGTTCTTTAACTTCCGTTGATTAAAGGCAGATTGGTGATTTTCTCTGCTGTAGTCATTATTTTAAATCAGTTCTTTAGCTTCCGTTGATTAAAGGCAGATTGGTGATTTTCTCTCCTGTAGTTATAATTTTAAATCAGTTCTTTAACTTCCATTGATTAAAGGCAGACTGATGATTTTCTCTCCTGTAGTTATAATTTGCAACTCTACCATGGACTCGCTAGATCCCAGGGGTCTTAGTCCCAACACCGAATACGTCTGTTATGAAGAAAATCATGAAGAGAAACACAAGACATAGCTCATATTATTTCACACAGTAAAATGATAAAAAAATGAAATTGCTTTTAGTTCATTTTCTCTGCATACGTTTTGATCGTAATTACAGAAACAGAATTCCTGTAATGTTCGACTCGACCTAGTGCTTGCAGAATCCACTGTTGCTGTGACATCGGAAGTCCAGGAAATTCTTTCTTTAATATCTATTGTATCTTGATTATGATATTACATTAAGCTAACCTAGCTGTATCCGAACAGTAACTGGATACAGATTTCTTCCATTAGGAAGGTAATAATTTGAAAACTCTGAACGAACTCCAACACCAGGTTCCAGCAAAACGGAATTGAGTGAAAAATCAAAATAAAAGAAAAAAAAAAGTCACAGTTTCGTATTTGATAAAAGTTTAGATTACACTAAAAACACATACAGTTTGGTATTTGATAAACGTGTAGATTACATTAAACCACACATGGTTAGGTATTTCATGAGAGTTTAAATCACACTAAAACCACACGTAGTCTCGTAGTTAACAAGAGTTTAAATCACGTTAAAATAACACATAGTGTGGTACTTGATAAAAGTTTGATGACGAGGAACCCACTTTGAGACTAATAGTGGCTGGAGACGGCTTGAATGGGTAATGAAGAAAAAATTGTTTATAAGTTTAACATAACAGCAAATGTACAACGTTTCGACAAGGTTTTGTCATCATCATGATAAAAGTTTGTTTACAGTCTTAGTTACATAAAACACAGACAATTGGTAAGCCTTTACGAGTCCTGTAAAACTGTAGTTCTCAAACAGCATTTAATTCCATTGTGATCGAAAGATAATATCAAAATCGTCATTCTAAGCGGAACATACATCCCAGTAATGATTGTACGGAAAAGCCTAATTACTGTGATAAAAATGTCATGACTGAGATTTGTTAGCTTTTAAAATATTGTAAGTTAAGGCTCGCGTGTGGTTCACGTTTGGTTATGATCTTATCGTTTGGTTATGACCTTAACGTTTGGTTATGATCACAGCCATTGTTTGTCAAAAAAAGAGCTGATCACAGCTATTGTTTGTCAGACAAAGAGCTGACCACACATATTGTTTGTCAAACAAAGAGCTGATTACAGTTATTGTTTGTCAAACATAGAGCTGATCACAGTTACTATTTGTCAAACAAAGAGCTGATCACAGTTAATGTTTGTCAGACAAAGCGCTGATCACAGCTATTGTTTGTCAAACAAAGAGCTGACCACACATATTGTTTGTCAAACAAAGAGCTGATCACAGTTATTGTTTGTGAAACAAAGAGCTGATCACAGTTACTGTTTGTCAAACAAAGTAGCTGATCACAGTTATAGTTTGTCAAACAAAGAGCTGATCACAGTTAGTGTTTGTGAAACAAAGAGCTGATCACAGTTATTGTTTGTGAAACAAATAGCTGATCACAGTTATAGTTTGTGAAACAAATAGCTGATCACAGTTAGTGTTTGTGAAACAAAGAGCTGATCACAGTTATTGTTTGTGAAACAAATAGCTGATCACAGTTAGTGTTTGTAAACAAAGAGCTGATTATAGTTATAGTTTAGT